GCTCTTTAAATTGGGGGAGCAATCATGGCTTAGCTCGTGATGTGAGGATCAAATGAGACATAAGAAATTGTTTTGTAGATTCCTAAATGCTTCTAAAAGAGAAGGTAGTGGTGGTATTTAAAAGTATTTTTAAATATTATATTTTATTTACCTTTCAAAAATCTGTCTTAAGTTAGCCATGAAATAAAGAAACAAGCTGTTTTGGGGTGGGTCTGATTAAAATGATGTTGCCCAGCTGTTCCTGAATTTAAGACAAAAGACTAAGCAGGAGGAGGTAAGTTTATAGTTGAGCATAAAGGGTTTAGATTAGGTATAAGTAGGATCTAATAGCAGTTTGATTTGTTTGAAGCTATAGTGTTTTTCTCAGGCATATTATAAAATTTTCTCTAGGTGCCTTCAAAAATGAAATATAGATTTTCATGTGTTTGTGTTGGGTGAGGTAGTGTCCTACTGAAGACGTAAAGATGACTAATTTACTACCATCTCTAATGTTCGCCTCTACCCCAAACATCATACATCCACTTTATGTCAGTCTGGAAATATTTATGGAATCTGAACTCTTCATAAAAGTAACAATTTTAGTTTTAAAATATCCTGCTGTGTGTAGTTTGCAGAATTTCAGTATAATTAATGAGACAAGAAGCTGGCATAGAAGTCATTGATTAAAAACCTTCCTTAATTTTAGCCATTCTGACAGGTGTAAAGTGGTATCTGATCAGAGTTTTGATTTGCATTTCCCTGATGATGAGTGATGTTGAGCCTCTTTTCATGTGTCTGTTGGCCATCCACATGTCTTCTTTGGAAAAACATCTATTTGTGTTTCTGCCTATTTTTTAACTGGATTATTTGTTTTAAAAATTTTTGCTTCCTATAGCTGTAAGTCTTGAGGTAATCTATGGAAAAGTTTCTTATTTTATTCCTGAAAATCAAAATTCTTTACATCAGCATGTCATATATAGGAGGATTGCTTGAGTTGGAGTTTTCAGTATTTCAGTGTGTATCATGAATTCTGTATTATGTATTGCTGAACTGTTCATATTAGAAAATGAAGCTACTGGCATTGTTTATCCATACACATATACAAATAGATGGAAAAGACTAATGTACTCCCAAAACAGGCTTTCTTCTGTATCTTATGAGAAAATTTTGACCTTTGGTTTTTTTCTTATTACTACCACTGCTGTTGCTACTGCTATGTTTGTTGAACACTTAGTAAGTGTCAGGCATTGTTCTAGGTGCTCTAGATATATTAACACCTTCAATTCTCATAATAATCCACTGACTAGGTACTATTATCATCCCCAAGTTAATGGAGGAGGAAACATGTGCAGAGAGATTAAGTAACTCTCCTGGGCTAACGAGTAGAACCAAACCCTTTATTGTTTGGTTCCAGAATGCATGCTTCTACAGTACTGCCTACCACTAGTCTATTATACTTGTTGTGATAGCACTCTGTATATTGCTTACTCCATCATTAGGAAAATAGAACATTTGCACAGTTGGAAAGAATAAAGAATTGCACAAAATACACTGTTAAGATTATAGTGTGGATTTTAATTAACTTCTCTTGACTTATAAAATTTGACATCAGGAGTTGATTTCATATGAAACTTCAATAGTGTGAAATGTCTATTGGATCAATTTTTATGAGCATATTAAAGAAAGGCCGTGATTAACTCCCACACTCAACTCAGATGCTGACATAAGAGTAAGTGTGTAAACTACGACGCAGCAGTAACAGAGTGACTTGGAGAAGTGGGTGCAGGACACAGCAGAGCTGCCAGTAAGTACAATTTGATCCCCTTTAGTGCCAGTCATTCAGAGAGCCAGAATTTGTTCATGCATGTTAACTTGGTAAACTTAAAATGACCATGTATGATGTGGGGTCAATTTGGTGTGTTTAGGAAACTGTTTTGTTCAGGAAGAAACATTAGAAACTGTCACACATATCTAGACAATCAGAATTGTTTATATCAGCAAAATAATTTTCAAGGAAATATGACCTGAGTCTGCATCAGTGTTAGAGATCATGGAAACCTTATGTATTTCTTATAAAATGTTTCAATAGAAAACAGCCAGAGCCTGTAAGCCCCATGTGACTTTAATACATATGAACAAAATCAGGATTGTATGAAAAAAATACTCAGTGTCATTAAGTGAAGTAGCTGAATATATTACAAACCCTTGATCACATTGACAATATCATAGCAGTAGTCAACAACCATAATTGTGAATCGGGAAAGTGCTTTATGTGCATTATCATATTTAACCCTCTCACAGGATGAGAAAATGGAGGGAAACAGTTACATGCACACGGTTATACAATTAGCAAGTGTTATTCATTCACTTATTCAGTATTTATTGAGTATACCTACCATGGAGCCTGGCACCGTTCTAGGGAGTGGGGACTTAGCAATGAGTAAAACAAGGACCTACTTTCCGAGAAGGACCTTACCTTCTGGGAGGGAGATAGACAACAAACAGATAAACATGGACGCATATGCTCAGTCAGATGATAATAAAGATTATGTAGAACAGTAAGGCCCAGGAAGGGGGAGGAGTGCCAGGGTAAGGTGCCCGGATGGGCTGTCGTTACTTCTTTATATGGGATAGTAAGGGAGAACCTCTCTAAGGCAACGTTTCAGCAGACACTGGAAGAGAGAGAGGGATATTTGTAGAGGAAGAACGTTCCTGGCAAAGGAGAAGAGGTCCCTGTGCTTGGAGTGCCTGAGGAAGGTCAGAGAGGCTGTGTAGTTGCTAGGGGTGAAGGGGAGAATGGTCAGAGTTTGAACCCAGATTTTATCTGACCCCAAAGCCCACATTTTAACCACTGCACTAATCTGATGGGCCAATCACAGTATTACATAGCCTACTGCGATTTTGGAGACATTCTGTATTAGCAAAATGCATACTCTCATAGAAAAGAGGAGGGCAGTGAAGTTCTACTCTAGAAGTTGTGTGTTGAGTTGAGAATATGTGAGAAATCCGTGTGGCTTGGGGAGAGGTGCTTTGGAGAACAAAAGGTAGGGAACAATTGTGGACCATAAATTGGGGAACCTGGGAGTATACCTCCCCTGCTCAGAATACTTTAGTGGTTCTCTATTGCCTTCGGAGTTTTGGGGACACTATGTAGCTTTCCTAAAGCCCCATAGGATATAGACCTAGTTTTGAATAATAATAAAGACCATTTTCATTACTGCTAAGCTATGCTGCTCTTTTCAGAATGTGAAATCATTGCATACTCCTTGGCTTCCTGTCACCTACGGAAGGATAAGCCTTGGCAGGGAGCGCAGGGCCATATGTAGAGTAGCTCTTTCCTCCACTCTTACCCTTCCTTCTGCTGCCCCTCCCTTGCATCCAGGCATGAAGCAAAACAGTACTCTTCAGTGCCATGTATGTGGGACTTTGTACTGAAATGAAATGCCTGAAATATCCTTCTCCCTCTTGTTTTCTTGTTTACTGATGAAGATTTTTATATCCTTGAAGACTTGATCACTTTCCTTCCCAGGCTGAGTTACAACTTCTTGCCATGGCTGCTTTCAGAGCTTATAGATCTCTGTACTTGCTCATCATTTCCAGTGGAAATCATTCTTTGAGTCCAGGATTAGAGCCCTTGCTCTGTGCTACCAGAAAAATCTATGCAAGCATAGACCTGCTTCTTATCACATTTTGTGGGGGGGGAGAATTTTTCAGCCTCTTCTTTCAGACTCTAAGTCATTGAGAGCATGTGCCTCATTCTGATCTATGTTGCAACCACTGAGATGAGCACTTGGCATATAGTTTACCAGCTCATTCAAATTAAACTTAGAATATTGGATGCTGAGTTATAATGATGACAGTTTTGATCAAAGCAAAACAAGTAGAATATGTTGAGCAGTGATGTCAGTTCACTCAGAAAAAAATAGATGGTAATAAAAACAGTACTACTAAATGAAAGATTATTGTGTGCCAGATACTAAACTCAGTGCTGCAACACATCATTCCATTATTCTGAATGAAATTCAGACTTGAAAGATACACCTTATTAGGTATAACTTTCAAGTTAAATTAATGTCATATTAGATATAACTTTTAAAACTAAACTCTAAAAATGCATTCATTTTCAAACTGTTGCTTGCTGGATGGTAGGAGGTGTTAGTGGGGCTTTAAGTGGAGGGAAAATGTCCTTAGAAAGGGACAGACGTCAGCTTTGTTTTTTTATACTCCGTTTTTAAAGCGTTACTACAAATGTGTATACTTGGCTACATGCAGAGATCTTCCGGAAAGAACACTGTACTCATTTATAATTTGGACATGGCATGGTGGGTGAGACAGAGGGCTGTTGGAAAAGTGAGCCCAGATGAGACCCTGCATAATGCAGTGCTTCGTGCTGGATCAACGGTTAATTGTAAAGGCTTCAGAAGTGCCATCCTTACAACCTAAGGCCCAAAGTGGGCTACTTAAGGCCACGGTCACTTAGCCTAGTTCCTGACTTTCATTCAGTACAAAACCCATTCATTAGGAAGTCTATTGAGTAGTTTTTAAACAGGAATTCTCATTGCTGATTGCTTTGTGTTTCCCTGACAAGTATGCTATCTCAAACATATAAGCTTATAATCACTGATAAATCATTTTTAGACATGTTTTTAATTTGGGCTTACAAACCATTTATATGTTACTCTAGCAATGTTGAATTATACTCTGAAATATTTTTGAATGCAAATCTCAAAACAATTTATCATACCCTTTTCTCACACTTCTCATAACACAATGTAGCTTTTCTTCCCGCCCTACCCCCCCAAAAAAGGGGGTGTTGATTTTATTATTTCCTTAATTTCTCAATATTTTGTGCTGAGTAAAGTGGATTAGATATTCTTTATTTAATCTTAGTACTTAAGGCCTATCAGAAGGAGAGTCTATATTAGTGTTCAGAAAGGATATTTAAGAAATTATTTTCCTTTTGACTCTTCTCGTTATCCAGTAGACATTTATTCTAAAGCTCTTTTGTGGTTTTATTGCAGTGACCCAGCTGCTAGAGCTCTGTGGGAAGCCTTACTGAGCACCAAGCACAAAGAGGCAGTGATGGAAGTCCGGAGACATCTAGTGGAAGCAGCAAGCAGAGAAAACCTGCCAATCAAGATGAGTATGGGTAAGCATGTCCACCTCTAGGACAGACAGTAACCACGGGCTCTGAGGAAGTTGATTTGAGTTTCTCTGAACTGTGGGCCAATCTAGCCAGCATGGCATCTCAGTGAAAGTATCGAAGACATTTGTAAACTGTTGAAAGAGTAGGCAAGGAGTAGGGACACACTGCCCTCAGGGGTCAGCAATGACCCTCTTTTTTAGACTCATCTTTGGGAATGAACTCCTTCCCTTCCTCCCTCCCTCCCTCAACTTCCTTCCTTCCTTCCTCTCTCTCTCTTTCTTTCCACAATTCTAGATACACATTAATAACAAGTGTGTTTACTGTGTAGAGTTCCTTATCCGTGAGAAGGGTAAAACAAGAATAGATTCATATTGTGAATCAAGAAAAGTAGGATTGCACAAAGGTTTTGGTGATAAGGTTAATTTATATTGCAGTTCCATGATGTAACCTAACGATGCTATCACAGAGCATAAATCAATTTTTATTGCTCAATATAGGACTCTTGAAAGGTCAATACACTTTACTTTCTAAAGGACTGTATCTTTTTAAAAATATCAAAGCCAGAAATAAATTGTTAAAAAGGACAGGTAACCCCATGAATTCAAATGTGAATGTTTGAGTTTTCTGTTGACCAAAGGGGAGAAAAAAGCCTCAGATGAAATGATTTACATTCTCCCCAAACTCCAGACATGGGGAGAGAAAAAAGAAGGAAAGATACAGACAGTTGTTAGCAAACTTTGGTTGTAAGAAGGACTGAAAACATTGGCCGAAATCACACTTTATCCATGTGCCAACCGTAATTTGGCAAAAGCTTAACAGTGTGGCTCTCCGTTTCTGCTTCCTATCACTAGTCAGAATTTCTGGTGTGTCTCATTTTCATATACCAACAGATATATCACCATGAACAGTAAGAAAAGATCTGGAGCTTAAACGTAATAAAACATTGGTATTTGAAAATTCCTTATCACATAGCTTATCATAAAAAAAAAATCATGCTCTGCTCTCTTAAATGGCTGGAGTGCTTTTTCTAACACCATTTAAAACTATGAAATATGCTTTAAACTATGTACTATTCTCCCAACCCCTACTGTAAATTCTACTGAAGTATACATCTTTCTGTGATAGAGGTTTCTAATACTTTTGAGACATTAAACAGAAATTTTAATTCAAGATTGAGGATTCTCTTGTATTTAAATTGACTAAGAGTGATCCCGTGATTCTAACCTCAGATCTTAAATATAAAATTTCTCAGTACAAGGTAAAATCATATTAAAACCTTATGAACATCAATAGAAGGAAACACCATTCTGTGAAAGGAAAAAAGTTTAATTGCTAAAACAAAGAAAAAGTTCATTTTACCATTTCACATATAAACACATGCTGTATTTCCGAGAGCTTGTTATTAAATTGTCAGGTAGCTAAATAAATGTGTTCCAGAAAAGTGATTTTTAAAACATTGTAAACTGAATTGATTTTTTCCCACTGGCTTTCAAGATGAAAAATGTATCCTGAAAGTACAAAAGAGATGGACTCTGAGAAACCCATTTGTTTGGATCCAAAAGGTCCATTTACAGAAGAAATGAGTAGAAGATGCCTGTCTCAGTTTCTACATCTTACACGGAAGCTGTGTCTCTGGAGTCCTTCTGTGGTTGGAGGGTCTTCACCAGTTTGTCCTCTTGCTCTCCGCCGAATGGACATACTTCGCAGTGTTTCTTGGGTGGCGGGAAGATCACATTGGAGCTGAAGGAAAGCAGATCTCTATGACATCTTTCTTTTGCAGCCAGATTTCTTGGCAAAGTATTCTATGCTTGATTTCTTCTGTTTCTTCATTATTTTCTTGCTTATTAATCTAGTGCAGTCTGTCTTCTGACACTTTTTTGCTAAATGCTAAGTGAAATAAGTCAAGCAGAGAAAGTCAATTATCATACGGTTTCACTTATTTGTGGAACATAAGGAATAGCATGGAGGACATTAGGAGAGGGAAGGGAAAAATGAAGGGGGGGAAATCGGAGGGAGAGACGAACCATGAGAGACTATGGACTCTGAGAAACAAACTGAGGGTTCTAGAGGGGAGGGGTGGGGTATGGGTTAGCCCGGGGATGGGTATTAAAGAGGGCGCGTCCTGCATGGAGCACTGGGTGTTATGCACAAACAATGAGTCGTGGATCACTACATCCCAAACTAATGATGTAATGTGTGGTGACTAACATAACGTAATAAAATAAAATAAAATAAAAAAGCCTCCCAGACCACTAAATAGCAGCTTGTTTTTCTCAGTCCTCATCCCCCTTGACTCCTTTGTAGCACTCGCTTCTAGACTCACTGCTGCCTTGTGCACGTGACTATGATGGGGTGCAAAGCCAGCTATGTCTGGTTCTGTCACTGAACAGCCAAACTTCAGTTTCTCTATCCAGAAAAATAGGGAAAATACTTATCTCCTGGAATATTGAAGGGGAAAGAAAGCTCTGAGCACAGTGAAGGTTGTAACGGAAGCAGACTGGGATCAGTTTGCGGTGGGCCTGGAAGCAGAAGTCGGAGAAGGAATCTGCATGGGAAACCAGATTATAAGAAGGTTGTTTAGCAAGAGGGCAATCAAAGCAGACAAACCGAGTTCGATGATTTTCCCCCTTCTTTCTGGGAAATATGCTTACTCATTCTTCCCAATTCACTTGTCCTTTTCTAGTCTTTATGCTGAGTATCTCCCTTTTGATAACGTATTCTCTCTTTATACAGAATTCTAAATAGTTTTCCCATTTTCAGCTTAGTTATGATTACATTCTGTCACCTTGTCCCTGAGTCTGTTCACCCCCCAAATCACCTTGCTTGTATTTGGGACTTCCAAGCTTCTCTGGTCACTTCTGTAGAAAAATCTCTTGAGCTACATTTCCAGATGATAATCTGATCCATTACACTGAGAAACATCTTAATTTACTCTGCAAGTCCTGGGCACTGTAGTGTCGCTTCATATACTATTAAATGGGATGAGTTCTTTCAACCATTTGTGAAAAGAGGCCTTTTGCACCCTTTACCATTGCAGTTGCCTCTAGTTTGGAGCCATAGGCAGAGCCCTAGTTTGTTCATGTCCCTCTGAAAATGTGATGTCCAGAGCTGAAGAACAGTGTCTTGGTCTTCACCTCTTTTTGGATACTATACTTCTCCTAATGAAGCTCCAAATGAGATTAGTGAGTTTTGCTTCCCACCAATGCCACACTTACTATCATTTCCTCCTTTACCACTTCATATTACTGGCTTTAAAAAACAGCAATAAATCAAAGCACTCTACAGTCTTACTCAATCTATACTTTTTTCAACATCATTGAGGATACTGTGTTTCCTTTATTGGTACTTGAGTTCATCCAGTTCTGACTGGATAACAACTACACTTTGATCACATTAATATCTTTTGCCCTCATTTTGGAGAATTTTGTCTGGGACTAAGGGGAGCATGTGTGCATATACATCCGTGTGCGTGTGTGTGTGTGAAATGAGTGGGGTAGTTGTCAAACTGCAAAAAACCCAGTAAGACCCACATACCATGTGATATATGGTAATTTATAAAAGATGAGAAAAATCTGGCTACCTCATAGGACACATACACGGATTATTAACGGTCACACTTCCTTGTCTTCATATAGACACTGTTACCACAATTTGAGGAATGGAGAAGGGAAATGATTTTTTAACAGTTGTTTTTTTTGTTTTAAGATTTTAGATTTTTTTTAAGATTTATTTATTTATTTGAAAGAGAGAATGAGAGAGAGAGAGCACATGAGAGGGGGAAGGGTCAGAGGGAGAAGCAGACTCCCTGCCGAGCAGGGAGCCCGATGCGGGACTCGATCCTGGGAGTCCAGGATCATGACCTGAGCCGAAGGCAGTCACCCTAACAGTTTTTTTTTTTTAAGTTTTATTTACTTATTTGTCAGAGAGAGAGAGTACAAGCAGGGAGAGCAGTGGGCAGAAGGAGAAGCAGGTTCCCCGCTGAGCAGGGAGCCCGATGTGGGACTCAATCCCAGGACCCTGGGATCATGACCTGAGCCGAAGGCAGCCGCTTAACCAACTGAGCCAGCCAGGCACCCTTTAGCAGAGTTTTACATGGTTTGTTTCATGCAGTCCTTTCAATAATCTTTTGAATTTGGTACTTTTTTTTTTTTACTCCCATTTCACAGACTGGGAAAACTGAGACCCAAAAAGGTGTCGTTTCTTTTTCAGGATTCCCGTGCCAGTTGTGAAGTTATTGTCTCTCAGCTCTCACCTCACCCTTCCCCTCTGTAATGCTCTGGCTGGCTCCCTGTTAGAGGGAGATGGCAAGGCCGGCAGGGAAGGAGCCACGTGCCCCTTCCTCTCTGCTTCCTGCAGCCTTTCCTTCTGCTCGTCAGGGTCAGGCGGGCACCCCGGCACCGCAGCAGCACGGGGCCGCGCGGTCGTAGCGGCTGACTCCGCTGTGCAGTCCGCCGCCCGGTGCAGGAGTGGCTTCGTGGGCCTGCCCCCGCAGAGGTGCCTAAGCAGCCGAGGAGGGCTCGGTTCTCGGACGTCTGAGTTTCAGTCACTACGTCCCTGTGTTTCTCAGTTTTAATAATTCCAACCTCTTCCCTTTGTTTCCTCCGTCCAGTGGTGGGATCTGCTTACAACAACTGCCACGGCTACGATACCCTGGAGTTCTCTTTGTACCCTGTCAGGGATGCAGTTAACAGTTTTGCACATTACTTTTTCTCTGTTCAGATAACTGCTGTGTCTTCTGCCTGTCTGGGCCCAGACTGATACAGTCTTACAGCAAGTAAGCCAGGATACAAACCTGGGTCTGCTGACTTCTGTATCAGGCCTCTTTCTAGATAGAGGAATCAAACTACTGAGACACAGAGATGATTGTGCCATTCCTGTGCTTAAAACCCTCGGGTGGGCCCCTACTGCCTCAAGAGAGTGGCCGACCTCCTCAGCGTGCTGATTATAAAATTCCTCTGCCTTCTGGCTGGATGTTTTCCCCATCCTTTCCCGCTGCCTTCCCT